TTCACATGGCTGTCATGTTACCCTTGTTATGCTGTGATGAGAAGGCCACTTCACATCTGTTGTGTTCCTTCCAAAATCAAGTAATAATAGTCTGAAAACACAGACACACAAAATAAAAGACTGCCAAACATTCTACAAAACACTTGCACAGTATTGGTCATTACTATAAAATTCAGGAAAGCCTGAAATACTGATAAACCAGAGGAGTATGAAGATGTCTGACAATTAAATACAATGGGCCCACTACCCTGGATTGGATCTGAAAACAAAAGAATGCTAATGAAAAAAAGCAGATGAAATGTCCAATGTCAACTTCTTACTTTTGTCCTCTGGTGTTATGGGCTGAATTGTGTCCTCTCAAAACTTCTACATTGAAGCACTAACCCCAAGTACCTGAGAAGGTGACTATATTTGAAGACAGGGCATTTGAAGACACTATTAAGGTAAAATGGGTCACATGGATTTGTTCTAATCCAGTATGACTCACATCCTTATAAAAACAGAAGATAAGGATACAGGCAACACGCAGAGGGTAGACCACGGGAGGACCCTGCAAGAACTCAGCCATGTGCAAGCCAAGGGGAAAGGTCGTAGGAGACACCAAACACGATAACCATGCGACCTTGATCAGAACTGTGAGAAAATAAATGTGTGGTGTTTATGCCATTCAGTACTGGTATCTGACACAGCATCCCTGGGATGCTAATACACAGTGCAATGTAAAATACTTAAAATGGGGCCACTAGATGAAGAACATTTAAGTTGCTATTTTTACAACTTTTCTGTAAATCAATCAATACTCCAAAGTAAAAATTGTATTTTAAAAATGTGAAAGACCAGCCAGTAGCCAAAGCTGGGATGGTAAGAGAAACAGACAGAAAAAATCATAGCTTAAATGATGTCATAACATGAAACAAATACCTGAGAGCCCACGCTTATACAGTTCAGTGACTTCAGAAATACGTCAGTGGAGAAAGGCAGCTCTTCCTGACTGTTGAGCTCCCATGAACAACACAAACGGAATGAAAGAAATACAAATCAACAGCTGGCAAGAACAACAGCAAGAAGTGTTTTAGCAAGAACAGCATTCATCCAGCTTTGGCAATTTCAAGATCCTGCAGAGTGGAAGCATGAGGAGAAGCAGGATCTTCTCTAAGTCCACATATGCTGACATCAGACATCACAGTCAGGGAGTGAAGAAGGGTCCAAGACAGCTCTATGCTACACCTGCGGCTCTCCTGTGTGCCTCGATTCTTTCACAATGAGCAATCGGAAGAGCTAAGGTTGAACATCTGTGGGTGAAAACTTGAGGATGGAGGCAAGGATGTACACTTTACTGCTGATACTCAAAACTGTGTGGAAGCTTTGTTATTTCTCACTACTACTGTCCTCCCTGTCCACTTACTGGTTTCTATTTTAAGACTTTTAGTTTCTTCTACTTATTTTTAACTAAGTTTTTTCTTCTTTTTCTAGTTTCTTAACCAGAAAATAAAGTTGTTTTACTTATTTTCAAATGTTAAATAAAAACTGCACATATTAACTCAGAACTCTTAAAAATTAACCAAAAGTCTGTAACAGAGAATATTTATTCATGAAAATGGCTGAATAGTGTTTAGAACTCCGACCACACCTTCTGGTGTTAAATTACTCTATTAAACCTCCTTTTCCTTTCTTTGACAATCAGGGCCAGCAGGGCTGGAACAAGGGTTGGAATCAAGGGTTGGAACACATCCAAAGCCTCATCCAGAGAACTGTCATTATTTAGTCTGTCTTGAACCTTCTTAGAAAACTTATTTTTCTAAGCTTATTTTTATTCTGCCTTACTCAGATTTCACCCAGTGTCTCTTTACTCCATGACTATTTGTTAAAACAAAACAAACAATCCATGGCAATTGTTTGATACTGCAGCTGCCCGAGATTGTAACAACACTTAGGGCAAAGAACAAGCTAATGAAAAAGTGTTTAAAAGGAAAACCTAGGGAATTAACTGGCAACAAGGGCTCTGAGCACACATAACACAGAGCATACACTCAGGAAAACCTGACAAGGTCCTAACCTCTCACTATTATTGACAACCACATTTTGTACAGTGGCAAGGAAAGTCTGAGACAGTTACAAACTTCCTCCTTAAGTGTTGAGGGAGTGCCTCAAAACACACACTGCCTCTCAGCATTCAAACTTAGAGAACTTGTTAGTTCTATGCTTTGCTTTTATTAACATATGTTAATAGATTGTGTATGGTGCTCACACACACACACGTGTGCATGGATTAATCCAACCATCTTTCTTGGATCCTCACCACTTCCCTGCACCAGCACCTTTCAAGTCCCATGTAATCACTATTCTACTTTCAGTTGCAGACTCTTCTTTTTTAAAAAAAAATTATCTCTAGTTAATAGCTAGCCAATATGGTAACACAGCAGAGATTTCTGTGGCCACAAAAAAATAAAAATAAAAATGTACCTTTTTCAAGAAAGAGCTGATTCCCACACCTCAGAGACATTAGTTAATACCCTGGCTGTGTATCTCTTGCTGCATCTCATTCTCCCTGAGCATAAAAAAGAATCTACAGTTGCTGCATCCACTCTCTAAACTCCTAGTCTCCCAATTCTCCAGTTGGCTTCTGTTTCCACCACCTGAGGACACTGGTTCCACCGAGTGCATCCAAGGGACCAAACCTAGTGGTCCCTTCTTGGTCAACCTCTAGCTCATTTCTGAGTGGTCCTCAGTACTAGGGGACCCAGCTTCCATTTTTAAACCATCTCTTCTCAGAAATCCATGTCAATGACATTTACCTTGTTTCACATCTCCCTTGCTGGATGCCCTTATTTTGTCTCCTTCGTAGATTTCTCTTCTGCTCCATCTCTAAATACTGGTGTGTTCCAGGGCTTAGAGCAAGGTTCTCCCCATGTGCCCTATCTGCACCCTCTCCCTAGTTGATCATCTTTAGTCTCATGGCGCCAAACATTGTCCACATGCCTTTGTCTCACAAAAGTAAATCTACTTTACTATGCTGTCCTCTGCATGAAGACCTGTCCACATGGATATCCAATAAGCATCACAAAATTAACAGTGCAAAAATAGAACCAACAATCATTTCCCTGCCGCATGGCTCCTCTCTGCTCTGTCCACTCTTGTGTATCCCAAGTCCTGTGGTACACAAGCCAAACATTCAGGAATCGTCTTCGGTTTCTTTTGTTCCTCACCCCCACATCTATCCATCAACTAATTCTACAGCCAGAATACCATAGAGCCCAGGTCCAACCACTTCTACTCTGCATTACCTAGTCATCCATTGTGCTAGAAACATATATTCTGTTGATACAGGACATGCATGTCCATGGTGGCAAGTTCTGTGAGATACTCACAAATCCTCCTCACACAAAACTACATTTCCCAGTGTCTTTGCTATTACTTAGGCACCAGGTGACTCAGTGCTGCCTGTTATGAGTATGGGACATTGGTGTTGATTCCTCTGGCTGAGCCTTCCAATGTCCCACTCAATCTTCTTATCAGCTAGAAGTAGGGACAAGGAATTGACAGTTGAGCCAACACTCTGATGCACCTTCTAGGGCAGCTATCCAGAGTTACCCGCCAACTGCACCATACTGCACAGTAAAATAAACAGAAAAATAAACTTTTTTATGTTAAGCAAGTGGGATGTGCAAGTTTCTCTTTAACATCAGCCAGCATGTCCTCTAGTAGATGATAAGCCATGTGTGGAGACTGATCTGCTGAGAACAGCAGCACTTCTGTGAAGGCCTTGACAGAGGGTCAGACACAGTCAACTTCAGCCTATCTGCAATATTTGGACTTCTATCCAAATCTATCTATCAGAGATGATAGATAAAATTAAATATAAAAACAACCATGCATTCCATTTATCTTGATGCTGGAACATCCTGAAACACACTCAGTAAGTCAGTCAACATTTACCAGAACCTGTCAGTCAGGCATACCAGGCACCAAGAGACAAATGAGTCCTGTTCTATGGCCTTGAGCAGCTCCACAGTCTGTCCATCTCTTCCTTAAGGGCCACTATACAAGGAATTGTGCTGCATTCACAAGCTTATGGGTTGAAGATGGACTTGTCCGGGGTTCAAGGTGACCCACTGTTTCTTCATCTCTGTCAAAGCTAGCAGGAGAGGCAGAACAACAGAGCACTGCATCATGGCTAGAACAGCAGTGTGGGCTCAGGTGAGGGTGGAGGCTGAACTCAAAGGGGAAGAGCTAGAATCAGTAAGACTTACTCAAGGTGGGTCTCAGTGGCTGAGTAGGATTCACCAAAGGCACCCAGAGCAGGAGGGCATGAACAAGGGAGAGACACCCACATAGGCAAGGGCACAGAGGGGCAAAGAGAGCTTTTGCTTTCAGGGCACTGATGCCTTCTGTTGGGTAGACACAGGCACACACGAAAGGGCAGTCAGGCCAGGCTCCTCTCTGTGCATGAGGACTTGACGCACAGGACTGTCTCAATGCCCTTGGGTGACTGGACAAGGCACACTTGGGGCTGAAATAAGACCAAGCTCAACTCCCCTAGCCGTACACCCAGGACCAAGGGCTGCCTTGTCCACAGCCCCCAGAGTGCTGTGTGGTCTGACAGCTGCCCTGTTTATCCTGCCCCAGAGCACGGCTTTCAGAGCCTTTCCACACACAGAGTGAGAATCTCACTGAGTTCTCACAACCCCACAAAGCAGGGATCCTGAGCACCAGTTTACAGATGCAGAAACTGAGGCTGAGACGTGGAAAGAGACAAAGCCCTGCAGGAGACACTCCCAAAAGGGACCCTGAGGTCCCAGGGATTTCCCCTGGGACAGAGCATTCTGGAAAAACGAAGACTCCTGGACATTTAGCCTGCGACAGTCTTCTTTGTCTGGAAAAACAGCCTGACGTTCACCACCGAGTTGTGGATGCCATTGTTGCAGGGCCTCAGATTTAAATTTTAAATGCGAGGTAAAATCATCCCTGCTTCTGTGGTTCTGGTCTCCCCACCTAACAGAATGGCCGAGAACTCACTCATCAAGAACGGCTCTCTGGGGTCTCGCTCTAGAGACGACCATTGCGAGCAAATTCCTAACCAACTTGAAATCCCACACATGTGAGGGGACGGAGGGGAAACTGAGGCCGGGGAGACGACTGGTGCGACGGAGGACCGCGGGCGGGACCCCGGCCTCTTCCCAGGGTCTGAGAGGGCGCGGCCCAAAGGCGACGAGGGACAGCGGGTCGGGGCTTCCAGCGCCAGGCCGGGTCCCCCCGGCCTCCGGGTCCCCACGGCCTCCGGGTCCAGTCAGTCCCGGGTCCCCCCGGCCTCCGGGTCCCCCCGGCCTCCGGGTCCAGTCAGCGTCCCGGGTCCCCCCGGCCTCCGGGTCCAGTCAGCGTCCCGGGTCCCCCCGGCCTCCGGGTCCCCCCGGCCTCCGGGTCCAGTCAGCCTCCCGGGTCCCCCCGGCCTCCGGGTCCAGTCAGCCTCCCGGGTCCCCCCGGCCTCCGGGTCCAGTCAGCCTCCCGGGTCCCCCCGGCCTCCCGGTGTCCGTCAGTGTCCCGGAGTCCCGGTCCCGTCAGCGTCCGGGGGTCCCCGCCAGCTCACCGCTCGGATCCGTCCAGCCCCGCACCTCCTGAAGAAAACTCCGCCTGTCGAGTTCTCTCAACGCGCTCCTTCCCTTAGGCTCCGCCCAATCTGACTCCTATTGGTTGGGCTCCACAGGCCAGGACTGGTCCCGCCCATTCCTTCGGCTCACCCAGCTGACTCCGCCCACTGCTGACTCCGCCCACTCTCCGGCTGCACTCTGCAACGCTTGGCTTGCTCGATCCTCCCAATGGCTCGGTCCGCGTGGCTCCTGCCACTCGCTCAGTTGCACTTGTCCCTTTTGGGCACACTGACAGCCCAGTCTCGGTATCTCATTGGAAATCTCACGTTCGACTCCCAGTCTCTGGGCTCTTGCTTGGTGTTTCTGGCCCCAATTCGACCTACATCCAAGAGAGTCCCGCACAGCTGAGCCCCGACTTCCTCCCATTCAGTCACCTGTGAAGCCTACATGTGCACCTGTCAGCGCCTCTCCCATTCAGTCGCTCTGCGAGCCCCTTCCAGAGTTTAGTGTGGTCTGGACACCGCTAGGTTGAGGCAAAAAACTGGAGTAGCCTCATATCAGAACCCCGAATCTCAACGAGTGACCTTGGTGCAGCCCTCTCACCTGAGGCACATATCTCCACTGCAAAGTGCAGCTGCTGACAATGCTGGATTAGCATGTTGGTGAGCACAAGTTGAGTGCCATCTGTGTGCCAGGAAGAATGTGGGGCCAGAGAAGACCCACTGAGCAAGACAGCGAGGTCCCCGCCCTGCACATGGAGCGCCCCGAGGCACAAGCCCTGCCCTCTGCTTTCCAGTAGCTGGTGGCCTTGCGCGCGTTCCATCTCTCCAGGATGGGCAGAGCTCCTTGGCCAGCTCCTTCTGAGCCTGCCTTTGCCCTCCAGCCGCAGGCATCTCAGAAAGAGGCTGCACAGGTGTCTGACCATGAACCATATTTCAGAAGATTGTGTCTTGCAGGATGCCCTTGGTAGGGGGGCAGTACTAAGGGTTTGAACTCAGAACTTCGTGCTTGCTTGGCAGTTACTCTACCACTGACCCACACCTCCAGTCCTTTGTGTGTTATTTTTGACATGGATTCTCACTTTTTGCCCCAGCCAGTCTGGACCTGTATCCTCTTATCTGTCCTTTTCCAAATAGCTGAGATGAGTGGTGTGTTGCCTCTGTACTGTTTTTTTCTGTTGAGACAGGGTCTCACAAACTTTCTGCCCTGGCTTTCATGGAACCATGACCACTGGATCTCAGCCTCCTACATAGCTGAGATGACAGGTCCGATGAGCCACTGTGCCCAGCTATTGGTTGAGTTGAGGGTCTTGCAAACTTTTTGCCTGGACTGGCCTCTAAGCACAATCCTCTCTTATCTCTACCTCCCAAGTTGCTAGGATTGCAGGTTTGAGCCACCTGTGCCTGGCTAGGATGCCATCTTATGATGATGTCCATGCAATGTATGATTCCTTCCACAACCCTCTCTAGGTGAGACTCAGCCCAGAGAAGCAGGGTCAGGGCAGCAGTGGGGAAGGGAGTTAGGAAGGGAGTAAGGAAACCTGATGGCTTGGATGTTGATAAGGAATCACATCCTGGACCGCTGACGTTAATGGAACAATATGTGACACACAGCAGGGCCTTGCTGACCCACAGCCCCCATGGCCCATGGAAAATGACAGCCCCTGACTGTCCAAGGACAAAATCTCCCCCACCTGACATATGAGAGGAGTTGATGATTCATAACCACTGTGAATGACACATTAACCCAGTTCTCCAGGACTGACCACTACCATGTCCAAGGCCCCAATAAAACCTTGAGATTTTAGGAGCTCCAGCACAGCGCTCCTTCTTGAGCCTGCCACCCTCCCATCTGGTAGGTGCACTTTGCTTTGCTTTGCATTAATAATCCTGTTCCCACTTAAGTCTCCTCTGTGTCCCTCCGTGACTTCTTTCTCTGACAAAACTAAGAACTTTCTGGCCCCCAGACCCAGTGACCTGAATCCAGTAATATGGGCTACAAGCTGAGGAAACTGACTTGGTTGCTTTAAATAAAAAAAGTTTATAGGAAGGACACTGGAGAAACCCCAGAACACATCCATCCCGAAGGCAAAGTTCAATAAAGCAGGGGCGGGCTTGGAGCCAAAACTCCCTGAGCCGTCCTCCCTGGACACTGCCTCTATGTGAGTGCTCCCTGCTCCTTCTGCTGTCCCTAGGTCACTGCTCAGCTTCTGAGTCTCCTCGGAGAGGGTCTGATTGTCCAGGTGGAGGTGTCAGGAAATTCTTCACCTGGAATTAGGTCTCAAAGGATGCACAGAAATTTACTAAAGCGAGAAGGGGGGGCGATCAGGCAGAAGGAGCAGCAAGTGCATCACCAGAAAGGAACCCTGGGGCTCAGCATTGGGCTTGCCTGCCTAGCTGTGCCAGGTGCTTCCCTGGCCGTGTCATTCATGTCCCCACCCTACAAAATGGATATTAGTAAATTTGTATTCTTTTATGGTGATGATAATGTAATTCAGCCTATACAATTAAATGCTGCAAATATGGGCAGGGGACTGGGACCACTAAAACGCCTAGTGCCCCCATCTCTAAAGTTAGCATTAGGCGGCACCACTCGAGATGTCGTTCTAAGCACACATGTGGAAGAGGGTGAGAGGGTGGAGAGGAAGGAAGAGTAGAAGGATGGAAAGAAGGGAGGCAGAATGGGAGGAAGGAAAAAACACTTCATTAAAAGATCATACTGTGTATGCTAGATTTTAAAATACGGTATATAAAGCTTATTTCACTTGAATTTAACAGGAGAAAAAAATTAATAGAAATAGAAGCAGTTACTAACTCTACATATTTGTTTTGTTTCCAAAATGCACGTTTGTCACAAGATCTTCCCAAGATTGTGGAGAAATGAAGAGGCTGGGTGGTCTTTTTCCTTAAATTGCACGTTCACTTAGCACGTAGTTTCTCTGTTAGGAAGAACATGAAGTCACTCACACTTTCGCCCCCACCCACACCCGACATACTGCTCCAGGGCTCTGGCTTAGAGCCAAGCTCTGTGATTTACCTTCCTGTGGGCATTTCATCCTCAGTCCTCTTACCTCAGCTTTCCCTTTCTGGGTTCCCTGTTTACTGCTTGGTTGGCAGAGCCCCACCTCATACACAGGAACAACAAGCCCTGTTCAAAGTCACTTTGCCCATGACAGATCAGCGCAGGAGCTGAGGTTCTGACCAGCATCTGCCTGTTCTAGAGACAGTGCTCAGGAGAGCCACAGGAGGACTAAGAGCTTGGACTTGGGTGTTGGCTCTAGAGAAGAGACTCGCTCTGTGTGTGTGTGTATGTGTGTGTATGTGTGTGTGTGTATGTGTGTGTGTATGTATGTGTGTATGTGTGTATATGTGTGTATGTATGTGTGTGTATGTGTGTGTGTGTATGTGTGTGTATGTATGTGTGTGTATGTGTATGTATGTGTGTGTATATGTGTGTATGTGTGTGTATGTGTGTGTATGTATGTGTGTGTATGTGTGTGTATGTGTGTGTGTGTATGTGTGTATATGTATGTATGTGTGTGTGTGTGTGTGTATGTGTGTGTGTATGTGTGTGTTTATGTGTGTGTACATACACTGCTGCAGGCAGAGGTGTGGCTGGGCCAGGGACACAACCAGATTTGAGAATGCACTTTTACCCAGCACCACATGCTGTGGGCTTCCTTCTCCCTAGCTGAACCCTGCCTGATATGTCAGGTCCAGAAACCATTGCTAGCTAGAGCCTGGGGGCTGCTAAGCAGGCAGGGGCCCAGGGCCAGTGCCCAGAGGAAGTCACATGGCCAGGGTCACAGGCCTGACCCAGGAATGCTGAAGGGAAGGAGATATTTCAGGCCTGGGAGGAAGGCCCAGCCCATGAAATGAATCACTCTGGACGGAGATTATCCTGAGGAAGACCTTGGGGGTGGAATTGTGATAAGTGCCCTCCACCCAAAGTGATCAGGAGCCCACGGTCAGTTGGCAGTGACCAGCAAGGCGAAGTGTGGCTGACAATGCTCAGAGAAATCTAAGTAAGGCCCCACTCCAGGCACTCTGCTGAGGTGACTTCTCAGTGACCCTCCACACCAGGATGACCTGGGGACTGACTGGTCCCTTGCTGCAGGGCACGGGACTAAAGAGGCATATGGAATGGCAGTTTGCTTTCTCCTGCTGACTGATGCTCCCTGCAATGGGAGCAGAGCTGCCCCTGCTCCTTCGCTGCCTGGGTGCACAGGAGACTCACATAGGAGGCACAGCATGGAGACTGCCCAGGAAAACCTGGCCTTGGGGATGATGCTTGCTCTGGATGAGGCACTGGACTTGTCCAGACTTCTCATTCTTCCAGAGGGGAGTATGGAATCTGGAAGGGGCAAAGCGCTTGCCCAGGATTCCACAGCAAGTGAGCCAGATGCCCATTTGATCTCGCTCCTGCCCTGCTGACCCTTAGGAGAACAGCTTATGACTCTCTGAGCTAGGCTATCAAAATTGCCAAGGACTCCTGCAGGGCATTCTGATGCCAGCCAGTCCCAAAGTCCACATGTGCACACCTGCACTCATGGTAGTTATTTAGTGTAAAGTGGCCACACAATCATTTCAACCTCAAGTTCAACAGAAAACTCTATTGACCAGGTGGTCAGTGAATGGGCTCACAAGCCACTGTGAGTGTACCAGACCCTGTAAAGTCAACAGGGATTTATTTCTCACACCTGAGGACCAGCCTCCTTGAAAGGGGAAAGCAGCTTGTGGCGACTCCCCTCACAGATAACGGTGCTTTAAATGCCGTAGCTTTTAAATGCAGTATCTTAAAATTACAAATGTTACATTTGGCTATTCTGAAATCAACTGTTCAGGCTAAACATAAATAAGTACCATCAACTGCAAAACCTAGCTTTGAAGCGACTGACACTGACCGCACAACAAAAACTGTTGATTGGCTGAAGACAAACGGCAGCTCATGACCTGGCCTGCATTGAGATGTAATAGCGACCCTTCCTCCACACAACACAGGGCATCTGTGCTTTATTTATTTACAAACTGGCAACCCTGCTTTCT